TTAGTAATTCGTGTCTGTGCCTAACTTTACCTCTTCCACTGCGTTATCCGGCAAGAGACAAAGAAAATTTTTCAACAACGTTAGCAGTCCCTCCTGTAAGGCTATAATGCCATGCCAATTATAGAAATCAGTTTTTACCAGCAATCTACTTCGACGTTGTTGTGAAGTGACTGGCACTGATGATAGGCCTAAATGATGCCTGGCGAGGATTTCCTTATCCGAACTAACAAAATCAATGCTAGTAATTGATGTTGTCCCCAACTGTTTTTCACGTTTTTTAACCTTGGGGTTATCCATGTTTACACTTTGACTAAAACAAGCATATCTTAAGCGTTTATGACTAATTTTGTTTGGAGACCATGGTGATACAGATAAATATTTCTCAGTATTATTCGAAGTATGTAATTTCTTCACTGGACTCGCCGGCATATTCCAATTCGAACTGTGTTTGAATCTTGTACGCCAATTCTCGATATCTACCGGGCTTAGTAAGCGTAAAGCTTTCTTGTTTAATCTGCCACAGTCAGCAACATTTTCCAAATTATCTTCGAGCTCAAGCAAATTGCGTCTGAAAGGTGAGCTGGCGGCTGATATATGCAAACGCCGTAAACGCTTAATTTTCTCATTCTGCTTCGCATTTGCATTCACATTCGCATCTGGTGTCGCTGCTGCTGCAATAGGGACTGCGATGCCAGGTCGCTCTCGTTTAGATCGACGTCGAAATGGCGTTGCGACTCGATTAAAGCTGGACACCGTTGATAATTTTTCTCTAACTGGCGGCTGTGGTGTTAAGAGAAAATAGAATTTCGATCTATCATGTGTGATGTAACATTCACTGGGCTTTTGCAGAAGTAAGGCCAATTTCATTATTTCATCCATTAGCGATGTGGATGGTGGCGAACCAGCAAAAACTGACAATATGGCCACAAATGATTCAGCTGCACTTGCTGATATGTACACCGGATTTGGTGATTCAATCACATAAACTTTGCATAAATTGAGTAGCTCCTTGAGTAGACCAGCTTCACTCAATTGATATAAATTTAAATCTCGATGTGGATGTTTTTCGCTGGTCAACGCCAAAATACTTAGGAATAACATGTCCAGTACTTCGGAGTGTTCCACTCCAGAACGATGCCA